TTTCAGCAGAAGAGCTCCAGTAAACACTGAACACATGGGCCTGGTGAGTACGTCTCTTTATCTCCACAAAGCCGTCTTTCAGTTTCTAATTTGCACATTTTAAAGCTTTATTAATGTCTCATATCTCATTGAATAATTATCTCTCTGTTGGCTCATATTAAGAACTTTGTTTGTGGGGGTTGCCAAGATGTGAAAAATCCCCCTTTTAGCTCAGAAAACATCAAACACACGAAGACGACTTCAACGCTCTGAAACAAGAGTTCTCACTGACGTGTAACAATTAACATAATAACATATTAAAGTAGTATATAAGTTAAGAAACATAGATAGAGAATATAAAATATTACTATGAAGAAAATACAAATAAAAGATAAATAACTATAATTTAAAAAGTAAAAAGTTCTACTTCTAATGTCTAACAAAGCAGAACTCACACACGAGTCCTCGTGGATCTGTCGTGTGGTTGTATTATTCGTTATATTTAATGACCCGTCTGCAGAAACACTCCCACCCTCAGCTGTTCCCGGGGGACATCGTGGAGTATCGCAGGAACAAGTACTTCTCTCACTTCGCCGTGTTCTACGGGGAGAAGGACGGTGTTCCCTACGTCGCTCACCTCACATGTCGAGGTTGGTGTTTACTCCGTGTTTACCTTCTTTAAGGTACAAATATCCACCCGAGCAGCGGGAATACTTAAAGTACACGTGTTGTATTCAAATGCATCTGTGGTTGTGTTTCTCTGTTATTTATTCGTATTGTTTTAGGTCACTATAGGGAGATGTTACGTTCCTGTTTATTGATATTTTGTGTTAAAGATAAATAAGACTTTTACCGTATAATTAGACTTTAGATGTTGTGTTCGTCAGATTCAGACGCCAAGCTGCCGCTCTTTGGCCGAGCTCTGAGGTCAGAGGTGAAGCTGGATCCACTGGAGCTGCTGGGGAAGAGCTACAAGGTGACTTCCACGTGTAATAACACTGTAATAACACGTCGTGAAAGACATTGAATGACGACGCCTTCGAATTGCGTCGCAGGTCAACAACATGCTGGACGACTCGTTCCCGGCCAGAGACTTCCACGGCGTGGTGAAGCCCGCCATCGACGAGCTGATGGGCCGTGAGGTGACATTCGACATCCTGTTTCACAACAGCGAGCACCAGGCGACGCTCCTCCGGTACGGAGTCAAGAAGTCCCATCAGGTCGGTGCACGCTGCCCTCGTCATGGCAATAGAACGTCTCATATGTGAAGACGTTCACCTTTAACTTTACCAACATGTTGCATCTTTGACTGCACATTTATTATATTTAAACAATCAGCAGCAAAACACGAGCAATAGTTCATAAACCGTGAACCCGGAGTTCCACATGGATCTTTCCTGGGTCCTCTTCAGTTTATACAGAAATAACCTGCAAGAATAGATGCTTTCTCCTAATAATAGAATAATAATCTTTGTTTATATGAGCATCATTGAGGCTGTTTGTGTTTCAGATCGAGAGGATTTACGAGCACATCATGCCGGCCTGGAAGAAGCTGTTTAAGGAGAAGAAGCTGTGAACACTTCTCCTTGTGACCACAGGAGGGCGACACTGTGCAGGAGTTCAAGACTACGGTTATGAGATGAAGAGTTCATATTTGGGTTTTTTTTCTTGAAATATTGTCTAATATTACAGACATTTCATCTAAATGTCTACTTTGACTTTTTAATATATTTTTTCCACGATTGTTAAGCATGAAGTCATGTTTTAGAGAAAAGTTCATAATATTTACATGAAAGTTTAAGTGTCAAGATGAACTCTATAATATAAAATATATTGTCAAAACATTTTGACTTTTTCCTCAAAATATTTAGACTCTGTCCGTGTGCTGCATATTTAATCAACGTGTTTTTAACCAAAGATAAACGCTACATAATGCTAAGCTAATAAACAGAAGCTACAGCTCACCATCAAACGCTTCATGACGTCGTCGTTTCAGTAGAAGTTCACACAAACCTTCATCTTTGTTTGCAGACCGATGGAATGTCTCCAGAATCAAACAAAGAGTTTAACAGAGTTTTATTGTCACAGTTGTCAAATCTCCACTTTACAAATAAAGTGATCTTGGAGCCGTGTTCTGTGTTTCTCTCATTTAGTTTGTCAGAATCCACCATGTGAGTCCTTCTGGTCCGTGTCTCGTGTGTTCATGTCGTCTCCTCCACATCTAAACATCTGAAGTTCATATCTGACTTATTGATGATTCTTTCCTGTAAAGATCACATGAATGGTTCATTTGTCTGATCGACAGTCTAAAGCAGCTCAACGTAGCATTCACAATGATTTATGTTCTTTCTAATATGTTTATGACTTCATATCATCATGGTGTCTGGCTCCGCCCCCCTCACAGTTTGGGGGCCACGTTGACGCCTCCGGCCTCCTTCAGGGCTCCTTTGAGCCATGAGATCAGGATGCTGTTGGTCTCCTCCGGCCTCTCCATCTGAGTCCAGTGTCCACACTCCTCCAGGTGGGCTCTGCTCAGGTTCAGCATCTGCAGTCATTTACAATAATCCATATTTAATATAATCTACGATCACAACGGTGGGATTAGTAGTTCTTTGGGGGGTTTGTTTTCCTCACCTTGTCCTCCATTCCTTTGGAGAAGGCCGGCAGCAGCACCTGGTCTTTACCGGCCGTCACCATCAGAGTCGGCATCAGCAGCTGACACACACACACACACACATGTATTTATATGTACATGTATTCATATATGTATTGCCTGTGTGTGTGAGACGAACCTTCTCAGCGGGACGAGAACACGTCCACCTCCAGTTGGCCTCCATGTTCCGGTACCAGTTCAACGGCCTCCTGTGGAGCAGAGCAGCAGAAGGACTCGCTGTGAAGACACGTGAAGGTCTCTGCACCACAACTCTCACACCGAGTCCCTTTGTGGGACAACATGTCCACCACAACTCTCACACGACTCACTTTGTGGGACAACATGTCCACCACAACTCTCACACGAGTCCCTTTGTGGGACAACATGTCCACCACAACTCTCACACGAGTCCCTTTGTGGGACAACATGTCCACCACAACTCTCACACCGAGTCCCTTTGTGGGACAACATGTCCACCACAACTCTCACACCGAGTCACTTTGTGGGACAACATGTCCACCACAACTCTCACACCGAGTCCCTTTGTGGGACAACATGTCCACCACAACTCTCACACGACTCACTTTGTGGGACAACATGTCCACGACGTCGATCACAGCTTTAACTGCTCTCAGTGATTCACTTTACATGAGTCATGAGTCATGAGTCAGCAGATAAACACAGTTCATGGTTCATTATAACGTGTTCGGTTCTTATTGTGTTCAGATGTGTGAGGGTTGACTTTAGGTGACAGTGACCTCTGACCTGAAGCCTCGCTCTTCGTACTGGCTGACGTAGAACTGCAGGTCGGCCTCCGTCAGCATGCAGCTGCGCTTTATCTGCTGCGGGAGACCCACGAACAGACCCCCTACACACACACACACACACACACACACACACACACACAGTCAGATCTGTGTGTTATACGTGTATATATATATATAAACATATATGTGTTCATGCTTCACCTCGAGCACAGACTCCTCTGGTGCTGACAGCCGGACGCTTCTCCTGAGAGACAAACGTGTTTATTGTCGTGTTTCATATCTTTAGTGATCACGTGACTCGTGTTCCTTGTGTGTGAGTCTCCTCACCGCTTCAGCGCTGCTGGAGAAGAAGATGTTGAACGTTCTCTCCAAGTCTTCCTCCAGCTCGGCCTCTGCTACGCCCTGACACACACACACACGCACGCACGCACACACACACACACACACACACACACACACACACACACACACACACATGTTTTAAACTCCTTTATATACAAGTCCTGTACAATGAATACGTCTGAGGTGTAGTGCAGTAGAAGTACACGCTGTACACAGACTCACAGGTGTTTGGAAGTACAGCTGGTAATCAAAGACGGGAACATTCTTTAGTTTGTCAGCAGGACTCACTGACGGGTCCACAGAGAACAGAGGAGTGTTCAGAGACGCTGCAGCCCTGCACACACAACAACCAGCACGTTGTACTACTACATACACATATATATACACACATATATATATATATAAAGTACTGTGTGTGTACCTGACTCTCTCAGGGAAGTACTGAGCCATGCTCCACACCAGGGCGCCGCCCCAGTCGTGACCCACCAGGGTGACCTGAGGGATCGCCTGCAGAGACACGACATGGAGTACAAGTACAAGTACAAGTACCAGCATCAGGTAGTACTTTTGTTTCTGGACCAATCACAACTTTATACTTCATATTCATCAGTGAGTCACTTACTCACCATTCTGTCCAGAAATGTGATTAAATCCTGAAGAAAACATTCAAATTATTACAACATCACTGGATGAGTACAACGACGAGTATTTATATATTTATATATGTATATATATATTTATATATGTATATATATATATATATATATACATATATGTCTTTATACTTCATGATGAACATGAAGCTGCATTGGTGTCACAATAACAAGTGCGTCTATGAAGCGATATCGATCTTTATGAAGCTGAAGAAGGTTTATTATACTTCATAACCTTTCATCCTGACTCCTCATGTGTGTGTCTTTGAATACTTGTGTACTTGTACTTCATGAAGTGTGTGTCGTACCTTACAGAGCTGCTCCTGAGAATATTCTTCTACGTCTGTCGGAGGAGAAACACACAAACGTCTTCACGTCAGAGTTCACTGGTTCACTGTTAAACTCTCTACTTGAGCTTCACTCTGAATCTGTTTCACTGAGATGGAACATTGTGAATCAACTGAAGGAGCTCTGAAGGAGCTCTGTGATTGGACGATCACCTGGGGGCGCTGTGGAGCCTCCGTAGCCCTTCATGTCCAGAGCCAGCACCCTGAACCCGGCTGCTGCCAGGGCCGGGATCTAGAGAGAGAGGGGGGGAGGGGGAGGAGAGAGGGAGGAGAGGGAGGAGAGGGAGGAGGTGATGGTCACTGTGACTCAGGGAGCATCTTCGTTGTGCTCGCTGGGTGTCAGCAGGACGCTTGTTACCTGGTACCTCCAGGAGTACCAGCTCTCAGGGAAGCCGTGACACAGAACCACTGGAGGACCTGAACCCATCTCCACGTAATGAGTCCTCACACCAGGCTGAGACACACACACACACACACACAGAGGAATCATTAAGAGTAGTGTCACAGGAATACATAATACATAATGACTCCATACATCTGAACCGTGTCACATTCTGCCGCTGCCTCTATGAAGCATTAACTGTAGAGGGCAGTGTGCATGCTGCCTCCTCCTACATGTGTGTGTAGCACACTGCACAGTGCGCTCCATAGTGTGCTAGGACTGTTACCCTGATGGAGACGTATCCATGCGACACGTCATCAGGGCTGCAGGATGGTGGAGGACTCTCTGCTCCCACAGCCTGAAACACACACACACACACACACACACACACACATGGGAGGACTTATGTCATCCAAGCGATGACTTCCATCCACGTAGCAGAAGAGCTCCGGTCCACACCTGAACTCCAGTGAAGCTGGCCAGTTTGTTCAGAGCGTCCTCCAGGTTCTCCACCAAGATGGCCTTCATCCCGGCTCCCTCTGCGGCCGCCACACCTTCCTCATCCGCATCCAGCCACAGAGCCTGAAATGACACCCACAGGGTGACGGTGCTGAGCGCTCACACACACGTCTAAACGCCGCCGCTGTGCCGGGGTCTACCTGCTGTGATGTCACTCCCAGGTGCTGCAGAGCAGAGCGGAACAAGGCGGGCTCTGGGACCCTGTGACCTGAGCGACAGGACTGGAGGACCAGGTCAAAGTGGGCCCCCAGCTGAGAGAGGAGGCGGGCCGGACCGCCTCCAGCGGCGACGTCATCGAGCCAGTGATTGGCCAGGACGGCTGTCAGTAACCCTGATGGGATGGAAGGAAGTTTACCAGCCTGAAGCCACCGGCCTCTGTTCTTCATGTGCTACGGAGCAGCGTGAGGGACAAGAATAAGAACACACACGCTTCTGCACTTTCAGAATAAAGACCAGAATAAACTTGATGTTTAAGATTAAAGTTGAACTTTTGAGAATAAATCTAACTACTAACACAAGTACTGAACGTTGGACTTTACTTGTGCATGTGTGTGTTTGTTTCCTCCTCAGACTGAATAAAGGAAGTGGACGTTGCCATCGCCATTTTGGCTTTTGGCAGCCAGTGAACAGGAAGTGACCATATTTGGACTGAGGAGCAGTGACGCTGAGGTAGAGACCTG